GGAGATGTGATGTTTATAAAGTGGAAAAATTTCTCGCAATGCTCGTAGCCAAGGAGGCAGTGCAACACATACATATATATTTTTATATTAAATTTTTTATACAATTTATTAAATAATTTTTATAAATTAACATGTGAATCTATTTAAAAAATTACCTATTATTTTATTTATTTTTTAATAGAAAATTAATTTAAATTTTTCAATATTTTAAATTTAATATAAAATATGGATATTTCATAACTAGGATCATGTATGCATAAACTGGATCGATAATGTTGGTAATTGAATATATTGAAACCTAATTCCAGCAAATAAGGTATATTATAGCAAACCAAAAAAGGGATACTCCTAATAAGGTATATTAGGAATAAGGGTCTGGAGAGCAAACAAAAGTTCAATTTCATTAATTTTCACGGCATGTTGATGAGACACGAAGTGTCTCCGAATAAAGAGTTAGAAGAATATAAGGCCTCTTCAATGAAAACAGAATTTAGATTATCCTATCCGGTTCAATTTTATAAGAATAAGAAAACCAATATTGCAATTATGATAGTGGTATTCACTGTTATGAGTAATGGGCTTGGTAAATGTATTATGAAATACTTCAATACTAAAACAACAAAATTTGACTCGGGTAAAAAATTATCATGTTACCACGAAATCAAATCTTGTGGATAAGCACGATTAGTCATCGCTTCCAATTTGACAGGCACGAGTTCTAAGCCTGGTACTTGCAGTCCCAACAAATTATATAAAGACTATAAATTAATTATTGACTATTGATGATTAGTATTTGGCAATATTCGAAACACAGTTGTATGGTCAGCCAAATTTCAATAAATTAAATAAATTTTTGTCTTTGTCTTTTCTTTGCTATTCAAATCCATCTAACTTTTACTATATTGCACTTTTACTATATTTTTAATCTTGCTACTTTTCATATATGTTAAACAATTTTCTCATCCTAACTTAGCGTCTACCCTGATTAGTTCCTGTCAAGTTTCGTATGTATTCAAAATTGTAATTAAATTAGGAAAAATGTATTAGCAAAATAATAAATGGGCACAATATAATTTATATATTTTATGTTATTACCTTTTAAATACATGTACGGTTAACATTATCGGATTAATGTTGCCAAATATATAGGTATCAACACCATCTAGCGTAAGAGCATACATAAAAGAAACCCTCCTCGAAGTAATGCAAAAGCGGTTAAGCCTCGCCAAAGAGGGGATTAAGTCTCGCCAAAGAGGGGGTGTTTTAGTCCGCATACTACATATTAATGTTAGGGAGTCTGACACACCATTCCGACGACCGTCGGTTTGACGGGGCATAAAACATTCTACCTCACCACAAATAAATAAAAAAAAACACCATCTAGTAACAAGGATCCATAGATACTTACCAATTTAATTTAATATATATACTTAACTCAAAGAATAAACTAAAGTTTCAAGAATTTTAATTATATGTTTTTTAATTCAATTAAATTCTTAAGTTTTAAATTAATTTTACTATTTTTTTATCAAATTCCAATCCATTGATTTGTCGTCACATGCATCCTCTTCATAAAGGGCTTGACCCATCACCACTTTATTTCTCTCCATAAATGGCCCAATCTAGTTATTTCAGTACACAATTTTGTTCATTTTATTGCCATTGTTTTTAAATTCACAAAAGAAAAAAAATATCTAAAATATTTTAAGAAAACAAAGCCCATCCACTTTAAGTAAATCAAATCAATTTTTCTATATTTTTCTGTAAATAATTTTTATTAAAGAATTTTCTGTATTATTTCAATGTATTTTCCGGATTTTTCTTTGTGTTCACTTAATATGTGCCGCATGTGTACTCCTCCGCCTCATCCAGTTGTTGTTGTAGTTGTTGCAATTTGATTATGTGTTGCCTGGTGTATCTGCTGCCGGAACACATTTCCAGATACAACGAAATCAATGCGATCTAACACAATTGCTCAATTTTCCCCCTCAATTGATGTTCAGTGTCACTTTATTTTTGGCATACAGCTTTTTGATTCCCTCACAAAAAAGCCTATTTTTGTGTGCCATTTTCTAAATTTGTGCCTTTTAACCTAAAGCCGAATTGTCTGGCCCTTGGGTTTGAGATACATGGAAAATTATACCGAAATTGAATTTTGTGGTTACGCACATGTGTGAAAAATATAAAAGTGACTTCCAAGTAAAGGCAAAACAAAAATGAAGAAGAAATTTGTTTGTCAGTTCGGATGAATGCCACGAGTGCCATTCTTGAAGCAAGTCGAAGTACGCTCCTTATTCCGTAAGTAGTTTTCAATTGTGTCACGATTTCGTTACTGTCAACAGCAATGCCATGCCATCTTCTTCCTTTAAGCACAAATTAATGGAAGTCAGTTCACTTACATTTGGAAGAAAAACATTTCTTGGTTAAAAGCCAATTTTTTCTAATGACTCAAATGGTAATACCAAGATATTTTTTTTCCTTTCCTATAAATTAATTAAAAACAGTATTTGAACTTTTGGTCTTTAAAAATTTAGTGTTTTTACGTATTTAATAATTCCAAGGCTAAGATAATTGGCACCACAAACGAAAGTGCTCATGTACCACAAAAGGCTTTTGTATTACTTTAGAATATTAACTCTTAAAGAAATTTATAGTTCACAGTTATTTAAAAGATACATTGAATTTCAAATCATACAGTACTTCTTTGGGATTCATACTAACGATTTCTCCGAAGACACTATTATGAGTCTCACATTTTTAAAGACTGGGAAGACTATAAGTCCTTCTACAAAGACTTTAAATAAAGTTTTGTACAAATTTATAAGCGAGAATTAAAGAATGTGAACTCATTTGACATACTCACATCAATCAATAAGTTCCTGTTTATGTTGATTAAACATTAATTTTTGACGGAAATAATAGCTGTGAAACCCAAACAGTGGTTGGATAAGCATTACGGAGGCTCTGTATACATGAAGCATGTATACCGTGCTTCAGTTAGCTTATTTTCGAATGTTCTTCTCCAAGTCTTTTGCTACTTTTTGTTGGCGCACTAAGTCTTTTGCTACCTTATACATTCTATGTCAAAGCTTGCGTCGCTATGTGATTTCTCGGTTGTCTAAGTGTATGACCTATCCACTTTCTCGTTTTTTTTCTCAGTTTTCGCTACTTTTTGATCCTTTGGTTCAGTAGACGCTTATTTAATACTTAATCTTGCCACCATATTTCAAGAATTCTACGTAGAAACTTATTGACAAACACTTGAATCTTTCTATCTATATGTCTGGAGTGCTTCCATGTTTCACAGCTGATACAAGATAAATTTCACATTTAAGTGAAAAATTCACAGTTTGGTCTGCCTCTTGAGTTCACTGGATTGCCATATGTTGTTAAGTTTACGGCGGCGTTGATACGAGCATCAACATCTTCATCAGCTCCGCTCTTATTTGTCACAATGCTTCCCAGGTGGGTAAAAGAGTTCACGCATTCAATTTCTTCTCTATTATTTACATGCAATCTTACATTTTGGACAGCGCTGTATCAACTCGACATGCTTTTTCTCTTTTCAGTACTAACCCTTGAACCAGTTCTTGAACCCTTGAATCTGTTTGTTCGTTTATGGTAGATATTATCTGCTGTGATTTAATTATCAATTCCAGATGTTGTAGACACTCAAACATTCCCCATTGGATACCCCTGATTAATTTTAATGCTCTGCTAAGGATAACATCTATCATGAGAATGAAAAGCAATAATAATATACACTCTTCTCGCATACCTGTTTTGATGTCGAAAGACTCAGAGAGCATCACGCTCTGCATAAGGGAAGTCAACAGTTATTAATTGCTCTACTAAATTTTAACGAGGTGTAAACACAGTTCTGCTAAACAGAAATGGGTAGTAATTTCAGAAAGCATAAATAGCCACTAAATAGTCTTAAAGCAGTGTATAGTGAACTTACGTAGGCTAGTTGACTTCTTAAAGATATCAGAAAGTAATATGAACCATGAAGAGTGCTTTTTAAACTTTAAAAATTCATTCCGACAAAGACTTTATGTAAGGCAAGCACAAAATTTATAGTCTGAATCGATAAGGTCAGCTTTTTGTATCTTATATGATATAAAGAATACTTGCCTAGAGAATAGGCGCGATTGCAATTCTCCGGGTAAGCAGATTTTTAGAAATTATGAAGCTGAATAAATCATAATGATATGATAAGTAAATTAGACGAAGCTTATTTCGGCCCTATACACTGTTTCAGAGCTAAATAGATTTCGAAGAAGGAAATAATTTTGATTAACATATTCTCATTTGATTTGGTTTAGTTTTATGCTTTTTTTAATGATTTTTCAGATTTTATGTTCGAACAGAAATTGTATGATAAGCAATTAGACTTTTAGCTAGTGACTGAGACATACCGACGAAGCTTATTTCTGCCCTATACACTGTATGAGAGCTAAATAAATTTCTAAGAAGGAAATAATTTTAATAAACCTATTCTCATTTGATTTGGTTCAGTTTTATGCTTTTTTAATGATTCTTTAGATTTTATGTTCGAACAGAAATTATATGATAAGCATATAGGAATAGTCTGGTGCCTAAGACATATGGACGAAGCTTATTTCCACCCTATACTCTGTATGAGAGCTAAATAGATTTCTATGAAGGAAATAATTTTAATAAACATTCTCATTTGGTCAGTTTAGTTTTATACTTTTTCAAGGATTCTTCAGATTTTATGTTCGAACAGTTCTGTAGAGGTTTTGCTACAAAAGGCCACCACTCCAACTTAATTTGGAACTGTTCATAACTTGCATACTATAGGCATACTATTCGGTATACTTTTACGGCTTTAAGAGTATTCAAGAGTAAAGAAATATCTTATAAATTGGTTTTATTTCGATCATGGTTATTGTTTCATATTTGATATCCTCTATTTGCATATTATTTGTTCTCTTGTTTTTAAAATTTAATTTAAATAAAGTTATAAAATATATTGTAATGTTTTTATATTTTATTTTATTATTTTATTTAAAAAAGAAACAATTACTTTTTTATATTATTTTACAAAATATATTCAACCGCGATAATAGAAATGTATGAATTGAAAAGGGAAGAAAAACAATAAAATTAAATGAAAAATTAACAATTTATGATATCCTTTGCAAAAATTGCAGTTTTTGTTTGCAATTTTTAGTTTTGGCTGTGATACTTCCAGCAAACATACATGGCCTCATGAATATACAATATATGTTTATATGAAAAATATTTAAATTTTATATAAAAAAAAATATATATAAATATTAATTAATATATTCAATGCCATTGTGTTGCGCTGTGATGTTAATTGAAACTTATTTGCTATTTGCTGTTGTTGTGGCAGGTAGTTTTCCTTGTAAAAATACAAAGTTTTTAATACAAAATATGCTTAAAATGCGTATTTAAGTGTTTTCTGTTGTTGTTGTTGTAGTTATTGTTGTTGGTACTGTATTGTTGCTATATATGGTAAGTGGTATTATCATCTTAATAACCATAATGAACACCATGTCCGGCTACGGATGTATGTACTAGTGCGGGACCAGCAACTGCGGCTCTGAAATCAATATAAAAACATGGGTTAAAATATGTGAAAAATGTTCAAATGTAAAAGATATCGAAAATGTATTAAATATGTAAAAAGAAAATTTAATGAATTTTTGTATGGAAACCTACTTCACAACTGGTGCGGCATATACAGCTGGTGCGGCGGCAGCATAACCCAAACCGTGACTTAAGCCAAGACCATGAGCAGCGTAACCATGGGCAGCATATCCAGCTGAGGTAAAAGAAAAGTTAAGAAAATATTATTAAATAATAAATGGAATTAATACTTTCAGTTTAAGTTGAAGTATTTGCGCTTTTAAAAGATAATTACTTAATTTATACGGAATTTTTTAATATTTGCAGTAATTGTTATTAAAACGATACTTACAATTAAATTTGTTTTTGTAATAAAATTGAATATAAATGTATAAATTTAGTGCTGATAATTGAAATATGTTTTTTAATTAAATTTTTTTATTTTTTTTCTATGAATATAAATTTATATTATATTTATTGAACACTATAATAGTCGATAAAGGAAAATTTAATGTTATGCATCACAAGCATATCAAATTAATATAGAAATAATTTTCATATATTTTATTATATGTAATATAAAATATTAAGGAAATATCTATTGTATTTTAAAATAAATAAATTCAAGTTACACAAAGAGAATTAAGCCAAACTTTAATTTCGTTTTAAATATATTAAAAATGTAAAAGGCCTAAAAAAACTTTATAAATATTATAGTAAAATTAAAAATTTTGTGGTAAAATCTGCTGCAATTAAATTTTTTAATAATTTTTAATAGTCTGATATAACAAAGACATCCTTTTTTTTTAAATCGGCACAACAACAATAAAGCAACAAAATTTCTGGTTCCTCCGTATCAATAATGTCTTTCAGGATTTTATCTAAAGTTCAAAAGATTTTTTAAGATATATTTTTTACTTATATGTATTTTTCAATAGTTTATATATTATAATAAAAAGTATATCTTAAAAACTCTTATTTTCATTGAAGTTAAAATTATAGAAGACACGGTTAATACGGAGGAACCACAAGCTTTAATGATTTATGGGTTGTTACACCACTGAAAAAGAGAACGAAAACTTGTTTTATTGAGTTTAAACGTCGAATTAATAAGAACTTTTAAAACTTTTATTTTTAACTTTTATTTATTTTTAAACTTTTTACCATTATTATTAGAAGTCAAGATACACTTCATACTTTATAGTGGATTAACAATATAAACACATTTTGATGTGTACTGTTCCAAAATTTGTATGGGATCCTGTATTTGGCTGCTTAATAAAAGGCATTCATAAAGAAGTTTCTCTTGGCTTTTGAAATCTATTTCAGAAAATCTAGAGATATCACTGTCGATATTAGAAAATTAAGTGATCTCTTAGATTGCAATACTTAGTAAAGGTCTTAGATAAGCTCTAAGTCTACCATGTTCTGTGGAAGTATATTATTTATAAACTTACCAAATATTATCTCCGAACTTTCTAAATTATGAGTTGAATAAACAATTGTTACATGATTAAAACTTTTAAATATACACAATATTTTTCTGGAAAAATCAGACAAAGAATATTTGCATGCTTAGTTGTAATCATAGCGTTAAAGACAACTTTAAAGAAGTATTTTTAAAATCTACAACATGTAATTAGCTAATCGGTTTTAGATACAGATTGTACTAAACTGAAGATTACTCTGTGTCATATATCATTAACCTACAAATCCATGTTGCTAAAAGAGAAATAATATGTATTTTCTATAAATGTTTTGGGATATCGTTTTGATTCAAAAGGATTACTTAACCTAATTAATTCTTTTTCAGAATATCGAGCTATGAGTTTCTTAGACGTGCTCAATAAAAACTTTTTCAAAATTTTACCTCAGGTCCATACTGGAACTGGGCAACATCTATGAGCTTAGGTTCCTTTTTGTAAAGCAATAAAGATTATCAGTTACGAATTCAAGTGTCTTTGTCTGTTTACCTCGTAGGCAACAGCAAGTCACACTGGAGATTATATTATCTCCTCTACAACCTGTTAGGACCACTACTTATATTAGTTCTACTTAATTTAATTCGTTTTCTTTTTTTACCTAGATTTATAACGTTTTGGGCAAGTAGTCTCATCTTTACATTTCTGTGCTTTTGTGAGAAAATAAGAGTATACCATCAATTCACAAGTGGGTATTGGATGTGACTGATGCAGGTATGCTGCACCAATGCAGCATAGACTGTAAGATTTTCAATTTATCTGGTGAAGAATCTTTCGATATAATTCTTATTATTAGTATATCAGTGAAATTCTTCAATTCTGCTAAAATGTATCTGCAAAGTCTGATATGCTACATGACAGATTGAAACGTGTTCTTTTTCAATAGATTACCAAACCAACACTGTTACCTAGTTTAGATTTTAGTTTAGATTTAAATGATATAGTGACCATAAAGATCAGGAGACGAATTTTCTTATTCTTGCCATTTCGGAATAGATAAGCAAAATAGTCGTGTTAGCTAAAGTTGACTTATGGAATACTAGATCTTTTGGTTTCTCTTAAGAATACCAGTATGTCCTGACCATGGTTTTTATTTTTCGTTACAAGTAATACTGATTGTTGCTTTGCCAGTACAATTGAATGTTACCAAATTGATTGAAAGAAAGCTTAATTTATAAATCTCTAATCATATTTCAAATAAATATAATTAAATAAAAATTTCTGGATAAAATTTATTCCAATTATTCCGAAAAGAATTAAAAATAAATTTTTCTTAAAAGAGCTTATTGAATTCGTATTTAAAATTACTAATATAAAATTTAATAAAATGAATAGAAAACTGAATTTCCATTTCAATTTCAAATTTTATATGACTACTATAGGGATGAAAATCGAAAACTCAACTAAAAGAGTTTTCACTTTATATATGTATGTAGCTTTTGTGCTTGAATTAAAGTATTATATCTATTAAGTTTGAGATAGAAAAAATACGAATTTATAGATTTATACAATTTTCAATTTTCATGCTTGAAGTGCATAATTCGAATGAAATTTGATATTAAGACTCTGAGTTCTAATAAATTTCAATTAAATATTTTTTTTTTAATTATCCTTCTGAAATCCATGTCTAGAGTTCCTTAACGAGCTGATATTGTAATTATTTTGTACAAATTTCTATGAACTTATAATTTAAAACAAAGTTAGTTGGAAAACTTTAATTAACTATAATAAAAATTCTATGAAACTTAGAGTCAATGTACATTCTCATTAGGATTGGGATTGGGATATTAAGCTAAAGGATTTCATTAAATTATTCTTGTGCTAATATTTTGGGAATACTCTGTTAATTTTGTTGTCTGTTTTTTAAACAAATGCTTATTAACGGTCGTAATTTCTTATCTAAACATGATTATAAAGTTGTAATAACTTTGAGAATAAAGGACGTGCGGCTGCCTCCACATACCAAAGGAAACGGTTTTGATGAATTTTAGTAGAAAATGCTTCGAGGAGATCCACAAGTTGTGTGAATAATAAAACATTTTTTAATAAACTATAAATTTCTTAATTGTGCTTTAATTTTTTAATGGGTAATAATAATAAGAATAATTAAAAATTAATTGAAATACATAAAATTATGAGCACACGGTCAGAAATTTCAATTTGAATATAAAATCGAACCCTTTTAGGATGTAAGCCATGTGGTTCAAGCATTTGTACCAAAATTTAAGCTCTGCGTTTAGAGTAAAATTTATGATGCTAAATAAATAAACCATTTTCTTAAGAACAGAACAAGAATCGATAATATAAGAAGCAAATTACGATAATCTGAAATTCAACATAACTTCAAGTAACATCAAACTAACTGGTGAAGTGGAGAGAACTATGCAACTATAGGAATACCCAAAAACATGTTGAAAACAGATTCTAAATGAAGAACACCTATTGGATCTCCATATGCTAATATTTGAGGATAGCGTTCAGAGGCAGCGCGAAGAAAAAGAACGAGCGAAATAAAGAATATAATAATAAACGATATAACAATGAAAGGTTTTCGAAAATAATCAGATACGAAATTTAAGAATTTAACATTTGATATAAGAGAGAGAGAGAGAGCCGAGCAGCATATATAACTCAAAGCCAATGACAACTAGGCACAGAAGAAGTCCAAGAACAAGATGGGATGAGAACGTGTATGGTGATGTAAGAAAGATTAGAATACTGAACTGGAAAAGAGTAGCATAAGATCCGGACAGATGGAGGCAGATCGTGAGGGAGGCCAAGATTCACACTGGACTGTAGTGCCAAATAAGAAGAAGTTTTTCATTATAAAAACAATTTTAAATTGTATATTTGTTTGTCTAAAGCTGCAATTATCCGTTAACTGAAACTTTGACGCTGTCATCACTTATATCACTTACATGATAATCGTCCCATCTCAACGGTGTATTGCCTAAAGACCCGGACACCATAACACACCAAAAAATATGTTATTGTCAACTCATGGCGTTTTCGATTGATAAATCAGGAGTAATTTTTTCAATTGAGATGCACTTTTTATGCGCTTTTCAGTGCAATATTTATTGTCAAATGGTAAATCTGGGGCACAATGTATAACACTCCAGATTTATTTATAACACTCTAGATATTTTGCCAGAGTAGCAAAATTTCACTGAAATTTCACTGAAAATTTGACAGATCGAGAGTAAATCTATATTGAATCCAGACTTACCAATTGAAAACGCCATTAGATTTTAAGTTAAATTCTTTAATTTTTTAAAGTGCTTTACAAATTTCTTTGAATCAACAGTAATTAATAATAATAAAGACTTTAATTTATAAATTTTCTTAAGTGGAATGTTTTAAAAAATTCTTCGAGTTTAAAATTTGAACTAATATTTTCGACCACGTAGATGAAAGAATATAAGACAATTAAGTTAATTAATTAATAAATGTGGAAAAAGTACTTATGTATGAAAATTAAAAGTACAAAATTTTGTGTTAATTAAACGAAATTTACTTATTCAAGAAGTAGTTGATTTAACGGCGTGTAAAATATAATTTTCATTGGCCGACAGACCATAAAAAATTCTTTCTTTGCCCGATTACACAAACGAGACTTATTTATTTTTATATTAAAAAAGTTTATCAACAAATAGACTAATAAGCATTTTAATACTTAATTGTATTTTTTTTATTTTATTAAGAATTTTCCGCA